TTCTTTTTTTTTTTTCCTTTTTAGCAGAAAGATAGTTTTGTTACTAACATAAGTGACTTGCCGAATGCAGCAAGGGAAGAAGTGGACATATTCCTTTTAGAGATTCAAAGTTAACCCGCATACTGCAACCCTCCTTAGGAGGAAATGCTAGAACTGCCATCATATGTACCCTGAGTCCTGCAAGAATCCATCTGGAGCAATCAAGAAATACACTCTTGTTTGCAACCTGTGCTAAGGAAGTGATTACAAATGCACAAGTCAACATAGTCATGTCTGACAAAGTATTAGTAAAGCATTTGCGAAGAGAATTAGCTAGATTGGAGAGTGAATTGAGAAATTCAGTGCCGATCTCCACATCTGATTCAGCTGCATTACTGAGAGAAAAAGACCTTGAGATTGAAAAGGTGATGCTGTGATTCAATCAAATTCACTATCTCTTAATTAAAGCTATAAGTTATTCTATCGAGTAGAACGTTTAAATCTACAAAAAGTTTGGTAATATCATGCCTTTCTTGGAAAATTAGGTTCTTGTCAATGTATGTCTTGAGATGACCTTAAGGCTTTGCTTGGAAAAAGGAAGAGGAGGGGAAGGAGAGAACAGAACGAGGTTACTTGGCTCTCAGGGAAACTAAAGTTGAAGGAGAATGAATGAAACAGAAATTATTGAATGAGGAGACTACCACTTTGGAGTCTGAGCTAAATTATGTTATTCTATTCTGCACCTTCTCCTTCTCCTCCTCGCAAACAGAGCCTAATGTCCCATACCTTTATAATGCCATTTTCTATAGTTCTACTTATGCTATCTTGGAACAAATGAATTCCATGGGAAAAAGGTGTAAAATTGATTTGTAAATCGATATTTTTGTTCATACACTTTTAAATTTAGCCTTCATGTACCCCGAGGAAGAGAATCCATGACCTAAATTTTCTTTTTTGAATTTGTACTGGAGATGAGCCTAAAAGTAGCCAATATTTTATTGTTTTCTCTTATAAAATAACATTTCAGTGAGATTTTGGGGGATGGGGCAGTTACGAATCAATCAGGAGAATCTGGGAACACATACTTCCAGTGAAATCCAAATGTTAGTTATCCAGGCATACATGCTGCTTGCAGCAACTTTCGTTTTGCTGAAATCTTGCTTGGTTTCTTATTTGTGCATCATCAGCTAAAGAATGAGGTAAGGGAGCTGACCATGCAAAGAGATCTTGCTCTATCCGAGGTTGAGAGTGTACAGCGACTAGGTGGGAATGAGGAATCATCAACAGAATGGGTATCTGTTTTCTATTTGATTATTAATTAGAGCGTTCTAAATTTCCATTTGATCTTGATTTGCATTTTCCACCCTTTTAACTTTTCTCTATCTTTCTGTCTAGGTGGGCCTGGACAATCAATATCCTAAGCTGCGAGTGCGGAATTCATCACAGCATTATTCGTGGGATTCTGAGAATCCAGCACCAGAGAGCCCCGTTATTGCAGATACTCGCAGTGAACACGTTGGCGTCAGAATTTCAGATATATCTCAACAGTCCGATAAACACAGTCGAACTAGTTCTGATGATAACTTGTTCCAGCTTCCTGACCTCAAAGTGAATTTCACACTCACCAGTCCACCTCAGCAGCCAACAATCAAAGTTCCTGGTTTTGTTGAAACCGATCTGCATCAAGAGCAGATAGAAGAAAATCCTGAAGAAAATTTTGAAGGAAGTTGCAAGACCTGCATAAACATAGGAAAATCTAGCTCTGACAGATATGCAGAATCTAACTTATCAGATCCTACTTCCAACCGATACGAAGATTCAAGTATGACATCATCTGAAGTAAACACAGTTAACTCAGGATTGACAGAGGTTGAGAATGAAAATGGAGAAAAACAAGAATTTGAGACATACTTACCCCTGCTGAATAGAGAAAAAGACTTGGGCATAACCCCTAATGATTTTATTATCCCATCTCCTGAAAAGTCCTCTCCAGGGCTTCTTGAGAAAGAAATATGTGGCTCCAGAAGCTTGAAGTTGGTTAGGAGCAGAAGTTGCAAAGCAAGTCTTACGACTAGTCCTTTCTCACCTTGGTTGGAGAAGGAAGGAAATAACAAGACCACACCATCAAATTGGTTAGAGAAAGACTTCAGTGGCAGACCTGTGGGCATCCCAAGAAAATTTTCTTTTTTGAAATATGATGATGACAGAGACAGGTCATCAAGCAATGAGTCGCTGACTTGTATTAACAATACTACTAGTTGTGAGCCTGAAGCACAGAATGTTACAACTTCAGAAGATTATGAGACTAATTGTTTGGAGACTATAATTGAAGAGGTGAAAGAAATGACCAATGATCAATATGGAAAGCAACCTGCTGATCCCACGGTTAGTTTTGTTCTTTTTTATCTTTACTTATGATTGTAATTGCCTTATGATAGAACTTCAGATGCTAAAGTTGAATATTCATGCATGTTTCTAGAGCTCTTTATTTTCTCTATTTTACCACCCACTCCTGGAGTATATCGTCATATCACAGAATTAGAGGAAAAGTTAGGGCCTTATGCAAATTTGAAAATATATATTGATATATTTAAATACTCCCGAAAGAACTATACTACAATTTTAGCATAAACTATCTCTAGGTGATCATATGGTATGAAGCAGATTATTTGCTTCTTTTCCATATTTTGCCGGTCGGTAGAAAGCCATCTACTTACCCTTGCCAATCCTGCATTTAGGTACGGGAGGCAGAGAGAGAGCAGTGGGATCTATAAAGAATGTAAAAGATGTTGGCTTGTACCCCATACCAGAGTATCTACCTTCTTCTTCAACATGGCACTCAGAGTTTGAGAGACT